AGTTCACTTGTGTAGTTGATTTAAAAGAGAGAGATCATATTTTGTATCTCTTGAAGTAAAATTATTATTTGACTAAGAAATATTGTTTGAATGAGAATCGTGCTGAAGTATTGACAGTATTGACATTACTTCTATTATTTTTCTTTAAAACAGTACTTCTTATCTGTACAATCACTGATCCTTTTGTTAATAAGTATCTAGATATGCCTATGCAATGTCACCAAAACACTATGGAAGGTAAAAGAGGATTTTGTCTGTTGTCATAGTCACATGGATTTCATAAGATCTAGATTTTTATAGTGGGTCACACTGTAAGCTGCAGTCTGTACCGGCACATGTGCTGGAGTATCTGGTGAGGTAAAAATATAAAGGACAAAATAGTACTAAGATTTGCTTTTGTAATGTCAGTGCTTAATGTGTGTATTGGGAATATCTATTATTCAAACATCCACTACTTTAAATAAAGAAAAAACACTGTTAGTAGTTTATGAATCTCAAGTCTAAAGAAGATAACTCTCTAGCTAAATCTTATGGTATGTTACCTTGGTGGCAAAGAAATGGCTTGACATGAGCCATAGAATATAATCAGATTATAACTCACTTCTCATGCCATAAATCAGCACATCATTTCTACAAAACAGGTTTCTGAAACATTGGTTGGCTTATTTCTTAATAGCATTGCCATAAGTTTATAAAATAAAATACTACAACATTTTATTATGTATTTATTTCACTTTTCACCCCAAATGTAATTGTCTTATTTTTCATAAAATAGCGGTGAAAGCATACAGCAATAGGTGACTCTCATTAGTTTCCTTCCTATTCCTGTTTTAAGTTAATATTTGTAAAAGTGAAATGAAGGTATCGCTATTTATACAATTTCTCAGCGTTGATGAGGAGTGCTCCTTTCTGCCACGTTGGCAGAACCAAATACTATAGCAGGAACACTGTGTCTGTGTCTGCTGGGGCTACCTAAAACCCCAGTAAAAATCTAGGAGTGTTTTCTCACCCAGCACATAGGAATTTTAGAGTCTTGAGGGGCTTAAGGTACTTGAGATGCTGTAGCTAGTTGTCACATGTTATTATGAAGCAGCATGTTCCTGAGGAGCAAAGAACCAAGCGGTAACTGCAGCTGCGGTTGCAGTTTCGATGCCTGGGTAATAACTATGTACTGTCATCGTCATGGATTGCACTAGAGATTTCTGCTTTGGGGCTTCTTACTGATATGGTTTTTTATTGATTTTACCTTTGAAAACAGATTTATTCATTGGATTACACATGGAATAAATAGCAAATTTCAATTTCTTAAAATTATTTTTTTCCTGTTTGTATATGTAAAATACAGACTCTGTAGTTTGTGACCAATACTCAAAACAATGTCAGAACTCATAAAATAAATTGTTATACCTTTTAATAATCCATTTGACTATATAGCATTTTCCAGTAAGCTTTAATGAAAAGGAAACATTGCACCCATTTTTAAAAAGGGTAGAAAGGAGGACCCTGGGAACTACCGACCTGTCAGCCTCACTTCTGTGCCTGGGAAGATCATGGAACAGATCCTCCTGGAAGCTATGCTAAGGCACATGGAGGACAGGGA